AGCGGTTCAAACTTTCACGTGTAGGTGTGAAAAATCATTCTCTGCCCCGGTCCTGATGCCATCCAACTCTAAAAATTATTTCGTCGTCCAAAGTGTCCCTAAGCAATAAGAACGTCCGAACAAAGGCAAAGGGCAAAGCCAAAACGCGGTCTACATAAACCGTTTATCACTAAACCAGCAGTGAGCTTCGCAAGTGTACAGCAACACCACCACTCGACAACAACGACACTAAAAAAATCAAAATTGGTCTCTTTCATTCAATGACAATCTGACTCACAAACAAACACCCATCAAGACTTTTTCTTCTCTCTTCTATTCTATGGTCTTTTGAGTAAATGGCTTCTACCCTTTTATCAAGGTCTCTCCTTGCTGCTCATCGCCTGATTCACTCCTCTCTTTCTCCCTCTCAGAAGCCCCAAATCCTCTCTTCTCTCTTCAATGTAAGTCCTCCGATCATTCTCCATCTGGGTTTCCTCTAAATCTTTCATTTTTTATGCCAAAGACATGATTTTTAAATTTAAATTTAATTTTTGTTTCGCTATGATCATCGTTGTTCGTAATTTCTTTTACCAATTGAGTGGATTCTGTTGACTTTGTTCGCTATGGTGGTCTGAAGGAGTTTTTAAAATTATTTGTTATTGTATTTGGTCTCGTTTATTGACTATGTTCATATCTCTTTTGGACTTACTCTCCCAATTTTTGATTATTAATTTTCATTTTGGTTTATGTTTCTGGTAATTGACTTAGGTGTAAGTTAACTATGTAAAAGCAAAGTCCTATTTTCTGAGTTATTATATGTGTTTTTCTTACTTGGTTCTATCTTATTGCCAAAACCCATTAGAGCTTATCAACATTTCTGTATTGTTATTCTGAATGATTAACGATGCTTGTTTAATTTCAAATGATGTTAGAAGTTGAAGACATCACTCAACACTCATATATCTTATCATGTTTTTATTGCTGCAGAAGAGACCATTTCACTTAGGAGCACACCCTGTCTGCACATCTTATAAAAGATCTGGTTCGGTTCGTGTTATGGCTTCCTCAGCACCCGGGGGTGCAACAGCTGGTTTTGCTTCAAAAGCCATCAGTGTGAGCGACCCTATTGTTTCTGTTAATTGGCTCCACGAGAACCTCAAGGACCCGAACTTGAAGGTACCCGTTTTGGGTTTCTCCTATATTGTCTGTTGTTTCTTGTAAAGCATTATCAAAGTTGCTTGAAATAATGCACCTTCCGTCTCTCACTTTAGATTTTACGTTTTTGTTAATCGTTTGTTTTTGTTATCTTATTCAGGTTTTGGATGCATCATGGTACATGCCTGGTGAGCAGAGGAATCCGATTCAAGAGTATCAGGTGCTAACTATTATTTGGATTTTGGACTCTAATCAACCTGTAATAGGCGTAAAATCTACTTGTATCTCGTTTAGTGTGTAAGATGTTAGTAACTTAGTTTATATTTAAGGTTAATTCCACAAATAGTTCCTGAGTTTTACACTCACATCCCACTTTAGTCTCTGACTTTTCAAACGTTGCATAGATGGTCCCTGCGGTTTTATTTTGTTTCAGTTTCGGTCCTTTCATTAACTAGGCATTAAAATTTTATAGAATATGTGTAAATTAGAGTCTAATATTAGAATCAGTTAAAAATTTTGGGTTTATCTATGGAAATTAACTTTTAATTTTTTGTATTGTTTGTCTCTAAACTTTATATGTTTTCAATTTTAATCCATAATTTTTACAAATTCCTTCAAATATTTAACACCAAACTAACAGAAAGATCGAAATTGAAGCAGAATAAAACCTCAGGGACTAACTATGCGACGTTTGAAAAGTCAGGGACTAAAGTGGGGTTGAGGCTAAACCTCAGGGACCATTTGTTAGATTAACACTTATATTTATCTAAGTGATATGGACCTTTTCATTTTACTATAATATAAGATCTTAAATGGTATTGGTATGTCATCATGTGTTAGCCTTGAGTCTACTAATTTAGTTTCTGCCTTTGCAGGTTGCTCATATTCCTGGTGCTCTCTTCTTTGACATTGACGGGATTTCAGACCGAACGACAAATGTGAGATGGTTTTCCTTCAGATGTTAATCTATCTTTTGTCATTTATGTGCTTGCTCGAAAAGAGTCATTTCAGAATAATCGACCATCTGCTGAGAAATAAAGTCTTCTCTTAAAAACAAAAAAGATTCTTTGAAGAAACTGTTTATTGATGCACTTAACATACATCTTCTTCATGTTGGAGGTTTTTCAAGGGGCAGTCTCAACAGATATAGGCCTTATGCACACCCATAAATAACAAACCAATCACTTGCATTTCATTGGACTGAGAAATGATACATTGGATGAATCTTTAGGATCTTCCAATAGCAATATCAGTGACTCATTCTATGCTGGTTACTACGAATTCAGTAGGCTTCTTTTGTTTTTCTCTTGGTTTATGATTTGCTAAGGTGAAATTGTGTTGTTCTAGTTACCACATATGTTGCCGTCAGAAGAAGCCTTTGCTGCTGCTGTTTCTGCTCTTGGCATCGAGAACAAAGATGATGTGGTTGTGTATGATGGGAAGGGGGTTTTTAGTGCAGCTCGTGTTTGGTGGTGAGTTATTGGTTCTACTCTAAAATAGCTCTGATTGTGTATTATGCCCCCCTTTCTTGGTTGGATGGATAAACTAATTTTCTTTTGTTTTTCATATTAAAGGATGTTTCGGGTATTTGGCCATAATAGAGTGTGGGTTTTAGACGGAGGCCTGCCACATTGGCGAGCAGCGGGATATGATGTTGAATCTAGTGCTTCTGGTGATGCTATTTTGAAAGCTAGTGCTGCCACTGAAGCGATAGAGAAAGTGTATCAGGGACATGCGGTATATTTAAAAATTATTTGCCTATTTGTATTCTATCTCAATTTCCTTTTGGTTTCTTGTGTGGATGGACCGTGTAACTATGTGTGTAACTCTGTGTTAATCTGCTTTCCTAGTTGTTTCTTTTAATATGATCTATAACTTTCCCTGGTCGTAGGTTGGGCCAGTTACATTTGAGACAAAGTTTCAGCCACATATTGTCTGGACTCTTGATCAGGTTGGCTCTCTTGTTTATGAAAATATGCTGCTTTTGGTAATCTTGATTCTTGTTTCTGTAATGGGTGCTCAGTTTGGAGCTCGATTTCACTATGTTATTGTTTGTTCTATGCTAAGCATATATATATTTTTTTTTTTTTTCAGGTTAGAAAAAACCTGGAGGAAAAGACACACCAGCTTATAGATGCCAGATCTCAGGCCAGGTACTCTTTAGTCTTTACCTTTTGTTTCTTAGGGAAGATGGCTCTGGTTCACTTGCTGAAAACAACAATTTGCCTACTCCTTAAGAAAACTATTTTTCAAAGTGTAATATGGCTGGATTCATGGAGGTTTCATTCTCCAGGTTTGATGGAGCTGCACCGGAGCCTCGAAAGGGTGTTAGAAGTGGTCACGTACCTGGCAGCAAGTGCTTTCCTTTTCCACAGGTAAAAAGATCTCTCGTGATTACCTATACAATTGAGATTTTCTCCGCCATTACTGACCTGTTGGACGCTTTGGTTTCAATACAGCATTCAATTTTTCTTACAAAGTTACTTAAAAGTGTGACTGTGTTCTGACTAGTTTTATTATTATTCATATTAAACCGTTTCATAATGTTAGCTGGGTAGTTTAAACTTTAGAATTTGATGACTCGATGTACAGTCCTTCTCAATGTATCTTATCCGATGATTCAAAGAAAATAATCTGCCTTGAACAAGGTTGGATATGTTGTTTCATTATCACGTTGTTTTTGAGATCTCTCATCTTTTAAATCTACACTTTCAAAGTTTTTGAATCAGATAAGAAATTATGCTACAAATTATTGGCAATGTAACCATTATGGTGATTCTCTGCAGATGTTGGATGGATCTGGGACCTTCTTATCTGCAGAAGAGCTAAAGCAAAGAGTCGAGCAAGCGGGTAAACTTCTACACTAAAGAACTAGTATCCATTATCTGAGACATTGAATCAGCTTTAGATGAAATCTTAATATGAAAGCTTAATGTGTACTCCTGTCTACAATAATAAAATGCTGACACTAAAATGTTGCCTAGGCACAGAAAGTAGAGCCCCCAAGTATGATCATGGAGAAAAAAACTCTTTAACGTTAGAGACTTGATACCGTATATCTGAATTAGCCATGTAGGTTTTGCTTCGCTCTTGCCTAATGCTCCTGACCTCATGCTGCAGGGATCTCTCTGGAAAGCCCGATCGCTACGACGTGCGGCACTGGCATAACTGCTAGCCTTCTTGCTTTGGTACAACTCTCTCTCTCTGTTCTCGTATCTATAGATCAGTGCTATTTGGCATCATTAGTGTCCGGCTCCACTACTCATGTGTGGGACCCATCTATTGGGAGTAGTGGTACCAAGTATCAGTGATGCCTCATATATTATATTAGACCTTGCATCAAACACTTGAACTCTCTTTGCTTTCAAATGACGAGTGAAGTACAGTGATATTGGAATTTAGGCTGGCTTGATCTCTGAATCTGGTGAAAAGCATTCAAATATTGAAAAGCGGCTTTCTGTTGCCTTGGCAGGAAGCGTTTCACCAATTCACCTTTTCCTAATGCTTTATGTTCCTTTTCTATTTCTCTAGAAATCATAGACAAATTAGCTTTGAATAGCTTGTCCTCTAAATTTTTCCCCTGACTACTTTGAGAAGTTGGAAGAGTCTAATACTCGGCTTTCTTTTGCAGGGCTTTTTCCGACTTGGCCAGCATGACGTTCCGGTATATGACGGGTCATGGACTGAGTGGGGAGCAAATCCTGATACGCTCGTCGAGACTTCGCAGTAACATTATGATCGTGATGGAAAGGCAGCCGATGCGGATCTTCCCTGATGAAAGCTCGGATGATGTATATTGTAACGAGAATAATAAAAGCGTGTCAAGTTTTTCATGTGGATGTAATTAACTTGCATTCTGTTTCCATTGTTAAAAGCATGACTAGAGCCTTATTTTGTTCAATTCAAAAATTCATCTTTTGTTGGAACATGCAAAATATTCTGATTTTCATTTGAATCTTAAGAGAGATGAAAATTGGTATCACTTGGGAACCTGATTTGTGAGACTAATCTGCATTGATTAAGCAGATATATGTTAATACACTTCATCATTGGTAAGTCACTGGTAAACGCTTCAATAATTTTTCTAAAGGGGTTAAAATACAGTCCTCTATAAATAAATAAAAAGCAAAAATAAGAAAAATATTTGAAAAATATTTTTCTTATTGCAACGCATTGTATCTTTTAATAAGATGATGTATCATTGCAACTAAACATGTGTTTCTCAAGGGAGATGCATAGAGGGTTGTTTCAAAAAAAAAAAAAAAAAAACCAGAAGAGGGGAGAGGGAATCAACTTGGGTAAGATTATTAAGGGAGATGCAGTTGAGAATAGCACATATTGTGAGTAAGGAACGTTTTTGCAAAGGGGATTATAAACACTATATTATTAAAATATAATTATTCCACACAAACTAACATGTATGATCGCGTGGCCTAATGGATAAGGCGCTCGCCTCCGGAGCGGGAGATTGTGGGTTCGAGTCCCATCGCGATCGCTCAAAGTCTTTTTTTTATCCCCTTTTTTAAAATTTGAAATTATTTCTAAAGTCGATGATATTTTCGTCATTGCAAGACAAAAGTACATAATTTGCTCTCTAAATAAACCAAAAGTTCATATATTTTCCTACATAAATTTCCTATGAATTCTAATATAACCGACTAACACTTGCGTTTAGCTTTTTCTGATAACTAAAATAGTTTTTTATGGGAACAAAAATTAAAGCAGTTGTATCCTCATACTTTACACATTTTAAACCAAAAGTCCACATAATTTCCTACATAAATTTCCTATGAATTCTAACATAACCGACTAACACTTGCGTTTAGCTTTTTTTTTTTTTTTTTTTTTAAATAACTAAAGTAGTTTTTTATGGGAACAAAAATTAAAGCAGCTGCATCCTCATACTTTACAGATTTTTAACTTTTGTTCACTATAATTTTCTTGGTAGAATTTTATTTGCCTATATAATTTTACTATTTTGATTGGTTTAACCTTTATATGACAAAAAAGTTAACAACATAGTGATGTTTTTGTTTTAGGTGCTTAACTGATGGGTCTAATTGATTATTGATGAATTTTTAATTAATTTTTTTATGTTTGCAACCGGCTATAGCAAGTTGGAATGGTTTTATGACTTGGCATAGCTGTAAATTTGTCCTGTTTTGAGGTGCTCAAATTTATTAACTTATTTTGTGACCGTTCATGAGTCTCCTGCTGTAAAAGGCCAGATCCAATTTATTTCGGAGATCGGCTATCTTTCATGGTTG